CTTTAAGTGCTAAAGTCATTGAATTATGATCTGAAAAAGTCTTTGACAATATCTCCACTTCGTAAACACTAGTAACCAAATTCTTAGAAATCCAGAACATATCAATTCTTGAAAAAGATCTGTGTCTTTCAGAAAAGTAAGCATATTCTTTCAAAGAACCATTTTTGTATCTCCATGCATCTGCAAACTCTAAATCATATGCATCATATCAAAAAAGCCTTTTGACAGTTCATCTTGTGTTGTCTTAATATCTTTCTCAGAGGTTCTGTCTTTTTGTGGGCAAACCACTCCATTCCAATCTCCCGTTAGGCACCAATTTTCATATGGTAACTCCATTAACTTATCCATGAATCCTTTATAAAATCTTGCTTTATCTTCATTTGGGATATAAATCCCTAATATCAAAGTCTTAGCCCCATGTAAATTAACTTCTACCCCTACATATTTACCATAATCATCAGTCAGTATCAGTTCTGGCTGTAACAACTCCATTTCTCTTTTAATTCCTGCTGAAATAAACTCTTTGCCTAAATTTTTATAAATCAAATATTATTTATCCTTTCTTCTAGTATGAGTTTCTTGTAGACAGATTACATCTTGTTTCAGTGTTTTCAAATAATGAAATAATTTTCTTCTTTTTTGAGGAGGACTTGCTCCATTTATATTCCACATTAGGCATTTAAATTCCATCCTTTCAAGAACTCATCCACATAAAAAAAATACTGTTTCTCTAATTTTATCTTCCAATTACTTTTCCTCCTTAGTTACTTTCCACTCACCCTAGCTGGCTTTCCCAGCTCCTTGCTGTTGCCTTCCCCTGCCCAGCTCCCATTTCAGTTCATTTCATCAACCCTCTCTGGCCTCCAAGTTCACCTGTGTTCTTACAAGCTACCTAAAATAGTTTTGCTTTCCTTGCCATTCCCCACCACCCCAATTTGAGAGGGAAACCTGGCTGGCTAGCAAAGAGTGGAGCTCAAGCTACTCTTTGCCTCTTCCATTTATTTTTGGAGAATGCTAAGGGCTTACATGAACCCCAGTGGCACCCCAGGAGAAGAAAAAAAGAGCAGG